AATGGATAAATTCCTAGAAACATGAAACCTACCAAGACTGAATTATGAAGAAACAGAAATCTCAACAGACCAATTACTAGTAAGGAAACTGAATCAGTAAGTAAAACCTCCCAACAAACAGCATCCAGGATCAGACAGCTTCACTGGTGAATTCAACTAAACATTCAAAGAAGAATACACTCCTTCTCAAACTCTTCCAATAAACAGAAGAGAAAGGAACATTTCCAAACCCATTTTACAAAGCCAGCTTTACCTGATACCAAAATCACACAAGGACACAAGAAAAGAACATTAAGAGGCCAATATCCCTGATGACAAAAACACAGAAACCTCACAAAATCCTAGGATACATGATTCAACAATACATTGAAAATATCATATACCATGATCATGTAGGATTTATGTCAGGGATGCAAAGATGGTTCAACATCTGCAAAGTTGATCAAAGTGATACACCACATTTACAAAATGAAGGATAAAAATCATATGATCATTTCTATAGATGAAAAAAAATTAGAGAAAATTGAACATCCATTTTTGGTAAAAACTCTTAAAGTGGGTGTAGAGCGAATATACCTCAACATAATCAAGGTCATATATATATATATCAGGTCTGATTTTCCCAGGTGGCACTAGTGGTAAAGAACCTTCCTGCCTCCACCCCTGCCAAAAAAAAAAAGAATGCTCCTACCAATGCAGGAGATAGAAGACGTGGGTTTGATCCCTGGGTTGGGATGATCCCCTGGAGGAAGGCATGGCAACCCGCTCCAGTATTCTTGCCTGGAGAATTCTCACAGAGAGAGGAGCCTGGTGGACTGTAGTTCACAGGGTCGCAGAGAGTCGGACATGACTGAAGTGGCATAGCATGCATGCACACATGCCAGGTCCACAGCTAACATCATACTCAGTGGTGCAAAACTGAAATCTCTTCTTCTAAGATGAGGGACAAGATAAGAATGTTTCCTTACACCACTTTTGCTCAATACAGTATTGGGAGACCTAGCCATAGCAGTTGGGCAAGAAAGAAAGGGCATTCAGATCAGAAAGGAAGATGTAAAACTGCCACTGTTTGCAGATGACATGTTATATCTATAGAAAATCCCAAAGACTCCATTTAAAAAAAAAAAACAAAAACCTGTTAGAATAAAGCAAATTCAGTAAAGTTGCAGGATACAAAATCAATATTCAAAAATCTGTTGTAATTCCATAATATGTTAATATTGAACTCTCAGAAAGAGAAATTAAGAAAACAATTCCGGGGCTTCCCTGGTGGCTCACTGGTAAAGACTCCACCTGCCAATGCAGGAGACCCGGCTTCCATCCCTGATCTGGGAAGATCCCACATGCTTCGAAGCAACTAAACCTGTGGGCCACAACTATTAAGCCTATGCCCTGGAGCCCAGGAACCAAAACTGCTGAAGCCTGTGTGCCTTAGAGTGCCTGCTCCACAAGAAAAGTCACCACAAATGAGAAGCCCATGCATTGCAACTGGAGAGTAGTCCCTGCTTGCTGCAACTAGAGAAAGTCCATGTGTGGCAATGAAGACCCAGCACAGCCAAAAATATATAAATAAAATCTCTTTTTAAAAAAGAAAGCAGTCCCATTTACAGTTGGGTCAAATGGAATAAAATACTTAGAAATAAATCCAACCAAGGATGTAAAAGACATGTACTTAGAAAATTATAAGACACTAATAAAAGAAAGTGAAGATGACACAAACAAATGGAAAGATACACTGTGCTCACAGATAGGAAGAATCAATGGTTAAAATGACCATACTGCCCAAGGCAATCTATAGATTCAATACAATTCCTGTAAAAATACCAGTAGCATCATTCACAGAACTAGAGCAAATAATTCTAAGACTTACATGGAACCACAAACAACCCCAAATAGCCAAAGCACTCTTGAGAGGAAAGAAAAAGCTGGAAGTATGCGTCCTGACTTCAAACTATAATTCAAAGCTACAGTCATCAAAACAGTATAGTATTCACACAAAAACAGACATATAGATCAATGGAACAGTAGAGAACCCAGAAATAAATCATGTATACATGGGTCAGTTAATTTATGACAGCAGAGCCAAGAACACACAGTGGAGAAAGGATGGTCTCTTTAATAAATGGTGTTTGGAAAACTGGACAGCCACGTGTAAAATAATGAACTGGACCACTAACTTACACACCAGTTAACTCAAAATGGATTGAAGAATTGAATGTTAATACCTGAACCCTAAAATCCCTGGAAGAAAACACATGCAGTCAATTCCTTGACATCAGTCTTGGTGATGATATTTTGGATCTGACTTCAAAAGCAAAGGCAACGAAATGAAAAATAAACAAGTGGGACCACATTAATATAAAAAGCTTCTGTAAAGCAAAGGAAATCATCAACAAAATGAAAAGGCAACCTACTGAATTTGCATCATATATCCAATAAGGAGTTAATATCTAAAATATATTTAAAAAATTTTGCACAACTCTGTAGCAGAAAAAAACCTGATTATAGTCAACCCTTGAACAATGAGGTTGGTTCATGTGTAATTTATAGTCAGCCCTTCATATACACAATTCTGCTTTATGGGTTCAACCAACCACAGACCATATAGTATTGTAGCATTTGCTACTAAAAAGTATCTGCGTATAAGTGGAGTCTGCTGTAAGAAATGAGCAGATCTGAGTAGACATTTTCCCAAAGACATACAGAGGGCCAACAGGTATATGAAAAGATGCTCAACATCATTAATGACCAGGGAAATAAAAATCAAGACCACAATGAAATACCACCTCACACCTATAAAAATGGCAGTCATCAAGAAGACAACAACAAATGTTGAGGAGGATGTGGAGAAAAGGGAACCCTCATTGTCAGTGGGATTATAAATTGGTGTAGCCATACAGAAAACAGTATGGAGGTTCCTCAAAAAATTACAAATAGAACTACCATATGATCTAGCAATTCCACTTCTGGGTATTTGTCCAAAGAAAACAAAAGCACTAATTTCAAAAGATACATGCACCTTCATGTTCATTGCAGCAGCATTTACAATAGCCAAGATATAGTGTCCAGTGATGGACAAATGGGTAAAGAAAATGTGATAACATGCACTCTCATACTCACTCACGTGCACAGTGGAATATAATTCAGTCATGAGAAAGAAATCTTGCCATTTGGGACAACACGGATGGATCCTGAGGGTACTATGCTACATAAAGTAAGTCAGAGAAAAACAAATGCCATATGACCTCACTTAACGAAATTTAAAAAACAAAAATAAGTTCATAGATAAGGATAACAGATTGGTGGGTGCCAGGATCGGGGGTGGGGTCGGTAAAATGGGTAAAGGGAGTCAAAAAGTACAATTTTGCACTTGTAAGTCATGGGAATGTAATGAATAGCATGCTAACTACAGTTAATTCTTTATTGCCTATTCGGAAGTCACTAAGAATAAATCTTATAAGCTCTCATCAGAAGAAACAAATTTGTAACTTATGGTGACTAATGGTAACTAGATTTATTGTGATAATTTCACAATATATACAAATACTGAAACATTATATTATACACTCAAAACTGATGTTATGTTATGGTTTTAAAAAGTATGCTTAAAAAAAAAAAGCACATGGGGCCTCTGGACCTGTGTTGGTCTGTGTAGAATCTGGCCCACTCATAAGCCCTGCTAGACCTTGCCCCACCAACTTCCCTGAAGGGGCTCTTCCTTACACTCTCTAATGCCTAGGTTGACTATGACCTGAAGACTCTCGAGTACAATGTTGCCTTTCCTCATATGCTGTTTGTCCTTGCGACCCAACCAACTTCTCAAACCAAGCATCATATTGTTTAAAGATGCATAAGGGCATTATATATGATCTAGAAATGACAAGCCAAGAAATGATTGAACAAAAGTCAGGATAGTGAGTTCTTCTGGGGTGCGGGGAGGGCTGCTTGGGAAGAGGCACCTAGGAAGCTCTGAACAGGGCTGGCCACCCTCTCCACAACTCTAGGGGATGCCATTCACATAAACTCTGGCTCCTCAAGTACTAGACAGTTCATATCCTTACCAGAGTGGTGGATACAAAGGCATTCATATTTTTCTCTAAAATAATAGGATATTAATTCTCACAGAACAATGCATTCATTTCATATGGACTTCTGAATACATTACTAATTGTCCCAGGATTCAGCAAACTTTTTCTATAAAGGGCCAGATGGTAATTATTTTAGGCTTTTCAGCAGATAAAAGTCTGTGTCATAGCTGCGCGGGTCTGCTGCTGTAGTGTAAAAGCAGCCAGGGAGTATATGAATGAGTAGGTGTGATTATATTCCAGGCTTTATTTACAAAATCAGGTGGCTGGATTTGGCTTGGGGCCAACGTTTACTAAACCCCAGGTCACACAGTTAAATCTTTGAAAGGAAAAAATATACCTGTGGTTCATCTCACAGGATTTTGAGTAGAATGTGAAACACAGGATTCATTGGAGATATTGAAGGAAGGTCCAGTGATGCAGACTTTTGTAATCTATGTTTATTTTTGAATAAGTTCTGACTGTGAAACATTTGATCTAAATTTGACTTTTTTATGAACTTGGGGTTCTGTCCTTTGTTACATAAGACGAGAGAAAACTGCTGTTTGAACCTTGATTTCATTAGGGAACCACTTCTGTCAGAATTATTCAGATTAATTCTTTTACTAATTATAGTAAACCCAACTACAATAATATCATCTGTCATGAACTGATCATCACCAGATGTTAGACATGATGCCAGGCACATTATTACATGCTACTTCTCTTTCTCACAACAGTTCTTCAATGTAGACTTTTTCAGGGTCTCCATTTTGCAAGAGAAAAGCTGACTCTTCCAAGGTCACATAGCTAATAAAGCTGAGATCTGAACCCAAATTGTTCACTTTCAAAGTTCATAGTCTTTTTTTTCCTACAGAACACTTCCTCTATAAAAGGCATCCTCTTTTAATGCTGCCAAAATCAATTTGGTTTTAGATTGTCTTCGCAGTTTTACTGACTTAGAAGAACTTGATGAGACAGAGTTATATATGTGCCACAAGTGCAAGAAGAAACAAAAGTCCACTAAAAAGTTTTGGATTCAAAAACTACCCAAGGTAAGCGTTGCATTTCAAATTATAATGCAGTTTTGAGGGGGAAATGCTTGATTGGTTGGAAGACAAATTATTTTTCTAACTTTATACTTATATAATCTGTTCTGCATTTGTCTCTAGGGTTTTCAGTAAATCTAAGTCCTTTATGAATTCATAAGTAAATATGTCCTCATCACTATTTACAGAGCGTGACGGGTGGGGTTTCCCCACCATACCACCAACATGCAGTTCTCTGACACCATGGGCGTCCTACATACAATTCAACTCCATTCTGACACTGTCTACTCAGAGAGAGCATCAGATTCCACAGGGTAAAGGGGCTCAGTCCCACAAAATCGCCCTCCACATCAGACACGATCACAAGCCCAGGCTGTTACTTTGGGCTTAGGCTTCTGAAGGGACAACTACAAATCGAGGTTTCCTACGACTCCTTCCTTGGACTTCAGACACCAGTCACATGTCCCCATTGTTACTCCTACTTGTGACCGACTAGGTAGACATCAGAGGTCCCCATGACCCTTGTCCCTTCTTGGGTTCCATTAATTTGCTATAGCAGCTCACAGAACCCAGGAAACCTGTCTGCTCACCAGATTATCAGTTCACAACAAAGGATGTTAAAGGATACAAATCAACAACCAGATGAAGAGATACAAAGGGCAAAGTCCTGAACAAAGGAGTTTCTGTCCTCATGGAGTTTGGGGCCTTGCATGGTGGTACGTGGAAGAGCTCTGGTTCCCCAACCTGGAAGTGTGCCAAACCTTGTGCTTTGGCTTCATTACACAGACACGACTGATTAAATCAGCAGCCGTTGCTGATCGTTCAGCCTCCGCTCCCTCTCCCCTCTTGGGGGTCAGGGAGGTAGGACTGAAAGTTTTAACTCAGTTTCTTGATTGGTTCTCTTGGCAACAAGCCCCCATACCTCACTGTCATAACAAAAGATCACTCTGTGTGGCTCTCTTCACTTAGGAAATTTCAAGGCTTTTAGGATCTTGTGTCAGGAAAGGAGACAAAACTAAACACATTATTATAAATCACAGTACCATAGAAAGGTATTCATGGAAGAAACCAGTATCAAGAATCAAAAGAAAAACTGATAGACTGCCTAAGATATTATCTAAGAGACATTAGTACCATCAAGTAGTTAATTTTGATTGAAAGGTAAATTAAGTGCTTGTTTATAATTTTTGTCTTTATCTCTCATCCAGGTGCTATGCTTACATTTGAAAAGATTTCATTGGACAGCATATTTAAGAAACAAAGTTGATACATATGTAGAATTTCCCCTGCGAGGCCTAGACATGAAATGCTACTTACTAGAGGTAACGTAATTACATTTGTTAGTAAAATTAAGTCTTCACAGAGAGAGGGTGGAGGTCATTGAGGCAGGGAGATGCTGATGTCATTGACCACTGCTCCTAACTCAGTCCTGGGATGCCTTCTCCCCTGATCTGTAGCCCGAGAACAGTGGCCCAGAGAACTGCCTGTACGACCTCGCTGCTGTGGTGGTGCACCATGGCTCTGGGTGAGTATGCCAGCAGGCTCTCCTGGGGTTGGGAATAGGGCAGTAAAGACCTGCAATTTTGTACCACTCTCAGTAACTCTGTCCCAGCTCCCTCTACAACAGTTCAGATTCATTCACTAAAATGGACAGGAATGGACAAATTTAATTCAGAGGACCATTATATCTATTACTGTGGGCAAGAATCCTGCAGAAGAAATGGAATAGCCCTCATAGTCAACAAAAGAGTCCAAGATGCAGTACTTGGATGAATCTAAAAAATGACAGAATGATCTCGGTTTGTTTCCAAGGCAAACCATTCAAATCACAGTAATCCAAGTCTATGTCCCAACCACTAATGCTGGAAAAGATGAAGTTGAACAGTTCTACGAAGACGTATAAGACCTTCTAGAACTAACACCAAAAGAAGATGTCCTTTTTATCATGGGGGACTGGAATGCAAAAGTAGAAAGTCAAGAAATACCAGGAGTAACAGGTTTGGCTCTGGAGTTCAAAATGAACCAGAACAAAGGCTAACAGTTTTGTCAAGAGAACGTTCTGGTCACAGCAAACATCCTCTTCCAACAACACAAGAGAAGACTCTACACATAGACAGCACCAGATGGTCAGTCCTGAAATCAGATTGATAATATTCTTTGGAGCTGAAGACAGAGAAGCTCTAAACAGTCAGCAAAAACAAGACTGAGAGCTGACTCTGGCTCAGATCATGAGCTTCTTATTGCAGAATTCAGAGTTAAACTGAAATAAATAGGGAGAACTACTAGGCCATTCAGGTATGACCTAAATCAGATCCCTTGCAGTGGAAGTGACAAATAGATTCAAGGGATTAGATCCGATGACAAGAGTGCCTGAAGAACTATCATTGTACAGGAGGCAGTGATCAAAACCATTCCCAAGAAAAAGAAACGCAACAGGGCAAAATGGTTGTCTGAGGAAGCCTTACAAATAGGTGAGAAAAGAAGAGAGGCAAAAGGCAAAGGAGAAAGAGAAAGATACACCTGTCTGAATGTAGAATTCCAAAGAATAGCAAGGAGACAGAAGAAAGCCTTCACATGTAAGCAATGCAAAGAAATAGAGGAGAAAAATAGAATAGGAAAGACTAGAGATTTCTTCAAGAAAATTAGAAATACCAAGGGTATATTTCATGCAAAGATGGGCACAATAAAGGACAGAAATGGTATAGACCTAACAGAAGCAGAAGATCGTAAAAAGAGGTGGCAAGAATACCCAAAAGAACTGTACAAAAAAGGTATTAATGACCCGGACAACCACAATGGTGTGATCACTCACCTAGAGCCAGGCATCCTAGAGTGTGAAGTCAAGTGGGCCTTAGGAAGCATTATTAAGAACAAAGCTAATGGAGATGATGGAATTCCAGCTGAGCTATTTCAAATCCTAAAAGGTGATTCTCTGAAAGTGCTGCACTCAGTATGGCAGCAAATATGGAAAACTCAGCAGTGGCCACAGGACTGAAAAAGGTCAGTTTTCATTACAATCCCAAAGAAAGGCAATGCCAAAGAATGCACAAACTACCGCACAATTGTGCTCATTTCACATGGTAGGATAATGCTCAAAATCCTTCAAGCTAAGCTTCAACAATACGTGAACCAAGACTATCCAGATGTACAAGCTGGATTTGGAAAAGGCAAGGGAACCAAAGATCAAATTGACAACATCTGTTGGATCATAGAGAAAGCAAGAGAATTCCATAAAAATATCTCCTGCTGCTTCATTGACTACATTAAAGCCTTTGACTGTGTGGATCACAACAAACTGCGGAGAATTCTTAAAGAGATGGGAATACTAGACCACCTTACCTGCCTCCTGAGAAACCTGTATGCAGGTCAAGAAGCAACAGTTAGAACTGTATATGGAACAACTGACTGGTTCAAAATTGGGAAAGGAGTACATCAAGGCTGGTACGTTGTCACCCTGTTTATTTAACTTGTATGCAGAGTACATCATGCAAAATGCCAGGCTGGATGAAGCTCAGCCTGGAATCAAGACTGCCTGGAGAAATAACAACCTAGATATGCAAATGATACCACCATTATGGCAGAAAATGAAAAGGAACTAAAGAGCCTGTTGAAGGTGAAAGAGGAGAGGGAAAAAGCTGGCTTAAAACTCAACATTCAAAAAATGAAGATCATGGCATCCTGTCCCATCACTTTATGGCAGATAGATGGGGAAAAAATGGAAACAGTGACAGACTTTATTTTCTTGGGCTTCAGAATCATTGTAGATGGTGACTGCAGCAATGAAATTTAAAGATGCTTGCTCCTTGGAAGAAAAGCTGTGATCAACCTAGACAGTGTATTTAAAAGCAGAGACGTCGCTTTGCCAACAAAGGTCTGTATAGTCAAAGCTATGGTTTTCCCAGTAGTCATGTGCAGATGTGAAAGCTGGACCATAAATAAGGCTGAGCACCAAAGAATTGGTGCTTTTGAACTGTGGTGCTAGAGAAGACTCTTGGGAGTCCCTTGGACAGCAGGGAAATCAAAGCAGTCAATCCTAAAGGAAATAAACCCTGAATATTCACTGGAATGACTGATGGCTGAAGCTGAAACTCGCAATACTTTGGCTACCTGATGCAAAGAACTGACTCACTGGAAAAGACTCTGATGCTGGGAAAGATTGAGGGCAAGAGGAGAAGAGGGCAACAGAGGATGAGATGGTCAGATGGCATCACTGACTTAATGGACATGAGTTTGCGCAAACGCCAGGAGATAGTGAAGGATAGGGAAGCCTGGCGTGCTGCAGTTCATGGGGTTGCAAAGAGTTGGACACGACTGAGTGACTGGTAGAGCTTTCCTTCAGTCTTGGTGGGAAAGAGTATTCCTGAAATATGTTGCAAAGCATGAAGAAAAGGCACACGAAAGCAAAATGGAGAAAGGTTCATTTGAGTCCAGCATTCACAACTAGTCTATTGTCCACAAAATCCTTGAGTAGTCATTACTCCAAAAGACTGCTGATTTCCTTGGCCAATTGATATTTAAATGGAGGGAAACAGGTACTATTTAGAATAAACTTCATGTTCTCTACTTTAAAGGTACATTTCTTATTTTGTTATATAACATTCTTGATTACTTTTTTCCCTTGAAAACCTGTATTAGGGGTATATTCCTTCCTTTTTCTGGTCTGCTTGAGGATATTAGTTTTACCTTCAGACCTGTCAAGCAACTATCCATGTTGAAAATCCTCTTCCCTCTGAACTTTGTAGACATTGCTCTTTTGATTTCACCATTCATAGTTATAAATGATAAGTCCACTACACATCTGATTCTCATTTGCTTGTTTTTTCTTTGGACTTAAGAAATTACTTGAGATGTATTTGTTTGGTAGTTGACAGGGATACTCTTAGTCTAGTGTCTTCAGCTCATGAAATGTTGTAAGGGTTTTTCTAGCAGTTTGTGAAGGTCTTTGTTCTGTCTACAGGCTTTCTCCTACCCAGGAGGACTGAGTCTGGGGCTCCATGTGTGAGTGGGTGGGTCATGCTGAGAAAGAAAAGCCTTTGATGGTCATACTAGGAGAGAAAGTGCTTCCCTGGAGGCAGATTTCTGTCCTGTGCTCAGGTTTCTTCTAAGACCGATGGGAAATCTGGTCCTAAGTTTTCCCTGTTTCCACAGGCCGTGACCTCTGCTTGTTAGGCTCCTTTGATGTTTAGTTTCTCTGTTAATCCAGTGCCATGTAAACAGCTTTGTGTTCCAGAAAATCTTCAGTTTCTGGTCAGTCCATGGCACTCTTCCCTGTTCTCCAGTGTGACTATATTCCTTGTCGTGTCAGTGGGTTTCAAGAAGGTAAACGTGAGCTTAATCACCTGTCTTAAATTACAAATCTCTAGAATTTATTCCATACAGTAATTATTAAAATTTATTGTCCTTCTAATAATTTATATGGTTGCACAGATTCTTGTGTGACTTCTGTAGTCTTTTTCTTTGATCATTTGACCTTTCTTTACAGGGTGGGTTCTGGACATTACACAGCATACGCAACTCACGAAGGTCGCTGGTTCCATTTCAATGACAGCACTGTAACTCTGACTGAGGAAGACACCGTGGTGAAGGCCAAGGCCTACATCCTTTTTTATGTGGAACGCCAGGCCAAAGCTGGATCGGACAAACTTTAATACCTCCTCCAAATCATTATTCGTCAACTATACCGGACAGACATTTCCAATTTTCCATAAATACTTGATCTGAGATTTAATTTCATTATGCACTTTTCAGTTTCCTATTTTGGGTTTAGTTTTATTTTGTCAATGGTAGTGACTTATTGAACATGGGCACCAACTAATTTTTTTTTTTTTTTTTTTAGTTCTACCAGAAAACCTCAGCAGATATTTTGATTTGCTGCTTTAGTTGTAATAATTCAGTTTTTATATGTAGTTTCAAGAACTTAGTTCTATTTGACTTTTTTGTATTAATGTTCAGTTCTCACTTTGAGGCACATTTACATCAATGCTTTGTTACTCTCATATGCTGAAAGCGAGAGGTGTTCCCCATTGTGAAGAATGATGTAACCACCTGCCGCCTTCTCACTGATCCAATGGAGATCAGGTTGGCTCTAAACCAAGTATCATGTGTGCACGTAAATTTGTGACTCACGAGAGTTCAGTGACTACTGAGCATCATTCTTTCTGCTTGTAAAAGAGAACAGGAAGGGCGCCATTAAACAGACCAGGTGACTGCTGCTCTTGGCATCTCTCAAAGGTGCTGTTTATCAGCACTAACTAAATAAATCGGTTGATTCAGTTGTACCTACATTGCAAATTCAAGAATTACTTTTTATTTTTGGTTTTGGGGCACTTTCATAGATGAGATAGGGATACTGAACAGTCCAAATAAGACCAAATACACTTAAAAGTGTTTCAAAAGTTCTGTGACTCAGCTACATGTTATCCAGGTGTTATTTATCCAGTGTGCAGAAACTGTAGTGTCATGTTTGCCTTTTTGAGTCAGCACCTAATTACCCCATTGGTTGTAGCACTGGGATTAACTGCATGTCCACTCTAGTTTTACTTACTTGGCCACCAGAGGTTGAGATGCTACCTTCCAAAGTTGATTCTGACCATCACCTAAACTTCGGGCAACACTGTGGAGTTCACAGGAGGAAACTAAAGTCTTTTAAGTTTTAACAGCTCTCACTGGCCTATCATAGCAGAGCAATTGAAAATACTTTCCTTTGAATAAATAGAGTTTTTGTTGTTTAGGTTAGCAGTCTTTTAAAATTGTTTTCAAGAAAAGTAGGCACCAGCACTACTTTAATTCAAATTGAAATCTGGAACCAGAATCCCATCTAATGACGCTTCCTGTGCTTTCCAGAAGTGTTTTCAAGCCAGCGTGCTGATCTTGGGGTGCTGGTGCGCAACGTACAAATTAGTGAGAGGAGGAGGGAGCACCAGCTGGGCCTGTGGAATAGGGCCATGCACATTTTCATGTTCGCTCCTTGTTCCAGTCGGTATTTTCCTCCCATCCCAATTCTTTACAGGTTGTTACAGGGCGGGCAGAATGTAGTTAGTTTATGTTAAGCCAGCCAATCAGACGTTCTCATATTATTTTTTTCTGTTTAAAAAAAAAAGGTCCAGATTTTAAGTGTATGGATGTAAAAGAAAGTTGGGTGGCCCTCCTCCTGGCCTGGATGTTGTTTGAAGCTGCAGGAGCAGAGCTGCTCCATCCCCACTTCAATATTAGCTGGAGAAACCCTGCATTTTCTCAGAGCAGAACACACCTGCTAAACAGTTTAGAATAACTAGGCACAAATTATGTCTGAATGTCTACTGTCCAATACTGTGGTCACTGGCCACATGTAGTTAGTTAAGTGTTGATTTTCATTAAAAACATACTGAAAACTCATTTCTTCAGTCACACTGGTCATGGTTCAAGTTCTCAGCAGCCACTCATGGCCCAGGACCACCTGTGTGCAGCGCTCTCCCAGACAGTGCTGGTCTGCAGTTTCACTCCAGAGAAGAAAGCTTCGCCATCATGTATAGATCTTACAGCTTAGAAACAGACAGCCCAGAAGATAAAATTAAGAGGAAAACATGTATTTAAAAGTTTACAATGTTAAATTACATATGCCAAGCCACAACTTTTTGAACTACAAAAATGACAGTTTCACATAATTTGATCTACTGTATCAGTACATTAACATCACATGACATTGAACTAGAAACGTGCGTCTCCTCTGACCTCACTCCTATGAATCCAGTCTCTTTTGCTTAGAAGATACACAGCTGTAACTTCTAACATTTGCACTTAGATCACTAGTCTCTGCGTGGGCAGCAGTTGTAACTCCAACAAGAAAGCCTCTGGCAGTGTTGAGGAAAATGGCCTTTCTACCAAATGGAACTTACAACAGACTAGACTACTTTGTTGGGGAAAGTGGTCCTCACACAGGCAACACTGTTGGCTTAAGAGATGAACACACCTCCTCTCTTGAGTTTTGCAGTGTTTTTCTCTCTTCATTTTACTAAAGCAGACATGCCTGAAGGATACCATGAAGGTTTTCTGGAAAAGCGACTGGACCCATGTGAACTGTGCACTTGAACACCAGTGATGTAAATGTGCCTATTTGTATTTTGAAAATTTAACTGTGCAGCCTTACCACGCCTCTTTCGAAAGCTGACCTTTGTGCTCTTCAGGGCTGTTCCCTGGTGCCGTGTCGTCTCAAGCACGTGTGTGGCTTCCCACTCAGAGAGCAGTGCTGAGGCAGGGCCTCGTGCTAAGTCACAGGGCTCCTCGGAACAAAACTTCCTCAGAAGTCCTCCCACACAGGTGGGTGATAGAAACAGTTTGTGGCAACACAAATCTCTCTCCATGGTGGAGAAAACCTTTGCTTATCCACTGTGTTCTACTCAGTGTCTAGTGATGACAGATGTAATGGAATTAAACCCGTCAAGTGTATGGGCCCTGGTTAAGTGTTAAATGTGTATCTCACCTGTGGAACCTACTCAGCAGCTTGGTTTCTAGGGTTGGGGACATATTTATTTCTTAAAGCCAAACCTCTCCTTCATTGGTTTAGTGTGTGTACATATGTCTATTTAGATACACTTATCCCACTTCCACCTCTATCGTCCCCTGAACTCTCTCACTTTCCCTTTGTAGCTGAAGTGGCCTCTTCCTGTGAGCCCTGGACAAGCTCCTGAGCAAAGTCTGTTTCTGCAGCCAGGAACAGATAAGAGGGGACCAGAGCGTGGCCGCAGGAGGGTGCCCACAGCGCAGGAAGGAGTGGGAGTGGGTGGCGGTGTGCTGTAGTCTGTGCGTCACCTCGCTGGGTGAGGACCTTCCCCCTCAGGTCTGACTGCGACGGACTTCAGACTGCCCTCTGCAAGTGTTGGTTGTGTGAGAGGTAATCATTTCCACTGAAACCTAATCTGTATGATGCTGAGAGGATTACTTGTGCAAGTGACTGATTTAAGTTGTAATCACAGCCTTTTGCTGTTTCACCAACCTGAACTGTTTATGGAAAGTATCATTAAAGATCTGGTCTCTTCCCTTTTGACTATTATTTCTGAACCTCTTTTCAGTGGAGCAAAGTTAAGTGATGATGTACTTGCTCAAGCCAAGGGCCTTTGGAATGAATCAACAGGTAGTAGGTTTCTACGAACCCCTCACCGCCTGGGGCTGCTGGGCACTTGGGCCCAGACAGAAGGACCTGGAGGGCAGGGTTGGTGGCAGGCCAGGCCGTCCAGTGCCGCATCAGGTCCCAAGGGAGCTCACCCGCACTGTGTGACTTCGTCCTGTCCTTCCTTGTGACACTGATTTTATAAGAATGAGGTCTGCTTGCCTCCGTCAGAGCCAGGCTACCCTGAGGAACCAGGTTTGGGGCTCTGACCAAAGGATCAAACAGGGAAACAAGTGCCACTGTTAAAAAGAGTAAATACCTGCTTTACAGTAAGCTCCTATAAGAACCACTCTGTGTCCACACCCATTGTTTTTCTGTGTTACTCATTTGCCTGTTTCTATCAGTTTTCTAAAACTGAAGACAAAGACGCCTGCAGCCCAAATGGTTTTGCCTCCAGTTCTCGAATCGCACGTTTCCTTTTGGCAGCCATGCTGGTCTGAGGCTGTGGAGGAGCCGAGCTTCAAGGGGCAGAAAGGGAGGAGCTTGGAGGAACAGCTGTCAGAACACCCCGCTGAGAGCCACATTCCTCCCTGCAGGCAGGCATGCCTGTGGACCCACCCTGTATTCCCGGGTGCCTCCTACCACCCCATGTGAGGAGCAGCGAAGTGGCCCGGCTCTGCCCATATTTGCTGCTCAAGCAGAGCTGTGGACGTGCAGCTTGGGAGACACAAGGAACAAAATGACTCTCCCCTGTGGCTGGCAGGCTTACACTACTCTGCCTCTAAGAAGGTGAAAGAACCAACTACTTCCAGGGATCAGCCCTCTAAAAAGTGTTGGTTTGGAAAGGATTCAGGAGGGAAATCCTAAAGGCTTTCCAGTAAACCCACCTGTGGTGCAGCAGTACCTTTTGAATAAGTTTAACTAGAGCCCAAAGAGGGACTCTGGCTGTCAGCTGTCATTTGAACAACTGATGTGATTAGTGTGAAATATGAGCAGCTCTTAGTAACCCTTTCCTTGAGAAATACATCTGGCTTTTGGCTGTTTCTTGATGTATGCTGTTTTTAAGAAAAGTCATGCTTTCCACTTGACCCGGGCAGTGGTGGGGTAACCCAGGCACAGGGGACCCCAGCGACTGGCTCCTCAAAAGCAAGGGAGCTGGCCACAATGGCTACTTTCTCCCTTAGGCTGCATTCTGCTTTTACAGGCAAAGCTGCACCAGGTCTGACCCAGCCTCAGTTCCAGAAGAAGGTCCTGGCATATGTGCTTCATCCACACAAGTGGAAACAGTATTCCCATCCTTCCCATTCTAATTATGTGGGAAAAAGAACAATATAACCACGGAGGTGGTGTTTCCTGATCAAGCGGAGAAAAAAATGGTTCTCACTACTGCAGCCCCTAAACCAAGCAAGACATAGGAGACACAGACCTAGGAGCTCACAGGAGGAGAAATACAGCAGGGTCTGGTGAAGGACTGGGAGCGAAGCGGTACTAGAAAATGAGCCCACAAATTAAGGAATCTCAGTTTTGTGTTAGGAAGGGAGAACTCATGAATAAAACCTCCAGGCAATTTACCTGGCAGCTTAACTGCCAGGAACTAAATTACACACATTCACAAGGAAGATGTGAGGCTGGTTTACAGGGCAAGAGTAAAACACTTCAACTTATAATTGCTTCAAGTAGTTTTGTGTTAAGAGTTACTTCATCCATCCTGGCACTTTGGGAAATATAGATTAGATACAGCAGGACACATAATTGGAAAAATGTAAAGCCAAGTAAACGAGTTTACACACATACACACAGAAGAACCCTGGAGAGACAGAAGCTACTTAACACAAATCTTTTATGAAAAAGCTCAGGGTAAAAACAACTGGGAAATCCCTCTGCCTGGAGGGGAGCAGCAGGATTTGAAGGTAGTTCAGCCTAGGCTGGAAACCATCACTATGGAACAAAATAACAGAAAAGGGGCATCGACCGTGGCTTCTGCTTACACCTCCAAGCATAAAACCACAACCTTTAGCTTTTTATAGACAGCAGGCTTCTTCCTATTGAAAGTAGAGCCGAAGACTCAAATTGATGTCCCAGGAAATAAAACCAGATACTATTTACAATTAAAGTCCCTCCCAGTGAGTAGAGATTGCAAGCCCGGACAAAGGCAGTCTAGCCAGTACCTCGAATGAAAACGCCAAAAGAGCTCTCTGCCTAACACCATTGTCAGCTAAAAGGAAAGAAATCCTCTTTAAGTAGGCTATTGAACTTCAACATGCTGATTTTCTGCCAGGGTTTTCAATTCCTCTAAACATAAGCCGAGCCACAGACTACCGCACGTATGTCTGGGTCTGCGCTTCCCTCCTCCTCAGAGCGCCAGCACCAGTTGTTGGCCAAAAATAAACACCATTCTTCAACCATATATGTCCACCAGCCCAGAGCTGGGGAGGAGCAGCTGGAGGTAGGTCAGGTCCCTGGGCTCCAGCCACATCGGTGTGGCCACTGCGGACCATGCACATCACCCAGCTCAATCGGGAGTGCCTGCTGCACCTCTTCTCGTTCCTGGACAAGGACAGCAGGAAGAACCTTGCCAGGACCTGCCCCCAGCTCCAGGACGTGTTTGAGGACCCTGCACTCTGGCCCCTGCTGCACTTTCGTTCCCTCACAGAACTCAAGGAGGACAACTTCCTCCTGAGCCCGGCGCTCAGGAGCCTCTCCATCTGCTGGCACTCCAGCCGCGTGCAGGTGTGCAGCATCGAGGACTGGCTCAAGAGCGCCCTCCAGAGGAACATCTGCAGCCGGCACGAGAGCCTGGTCAACGACTTCCTCCTCCGGGTGTGCGACAGGTAGGCCGCCTCCTGACCGGCGCTGGCCTCCAGGGCTCTGGGAGGCCCCTGGGGGTCTGGGAAGAGCAAATGACGAGACCAAGACGGCTCTGCTTCGGGGAGCCTCAGACTAGGCCCAAGGCAGACCCCCCAGGCCCACCCACCGCGCAGTCTCCACAGGATGGAGAGAATTCTGGGGGGGAAGGGCGCCAATCCTCCTCTTAGCCTCACAGGTCCTGGAGCTGCTTCAGCAGAGAGGAAGGACTAGGCTTCAGCCTGTCCCTCTGCTTCTGGCAGCTGTCCTCCCTGGCAGCCATGAAGGGCTGGGTGGGTCCAGCTGGGCCTTCATTTGCAGTGTCAGGTCCCAGGAAAAGGTTTCAAGATTCAGCAATCAGCTTGCCCCCTTGACTCTGCTCCTGGCAAGCAAACCCCAAGACCTGTGAAGTGCAGCTGAAGGAGGGTTAGGCTGCTCGGCTCTGGGTTAGATGAACCAATCCAGACTCCAGCAGGGGTGCAGACAATGGTTTCCTTATGAGAAACTTACTAATCTTCAGAGTACCTGAAGTTACTGCGAGGATCAGTAAACTGAAGGGAAGAGCGCTTTAGCCCAAGTTCTCAAATGAGCAAACCCAAAAGTCTGACAGGTTGTGATTTGTGCCACAGTCTAGGGTTCCCAGATTTTAGCAAATAAAGATTCAAGAGGCCCAGATAAATCTGAACTTCAGATAGACAGAATAATTTTTGGCACAAGTATGTCCTAAATACATCCTGTATTTGACCCGTCGACCCCATAGTGGCTGAGCCACGGGCGAGACCCCCTTCACTGTCACAGCCTCCTGCCCAGAGCGGTCCACGAAAGAACAGTCTTCCTCAGCCAGGCTCTCACTGAGCCTTTACCAGCCCTGTCCTGCCTTTGAGGAAATGATCCCCTCGTTCACTAACAAACTAGGTTCAGTCCGCTTGTTGCCACCCAGGTTTTAACAGCTGCTGTATTCTGGCAGCCTAACAAGGAACAGAAGCAAATAGTGTAGTGGCCCCTCCTTTCTTTCTTTTTTTTTTTTAAGGCCATAGAAGAAAATAGAAGATGGATTTGGGATTGTCCCTAATGAGACCATGCCATTTTGATGGGTTTAACAAGACCCAGTAAACAGACAGGGAAGTGATACATACAGGGTAAAAAGCCTGCCATAAATTTCTTCCATTCTTCTTAGAAGCAGGTATAACCCCCCAAACCAGCAAGGTGTGGACTGCACCTGTCCAGGCACGAGTGTCAGAAAAAAGGAAAGGGCCTGGGGCTGAGTCCCCCAGCACTGCTACTGTCTGACCATGTGACCCCCCAGCCCAAATATTTAAATTAACTCAACTTCATTTCTTCCCCTGTGGCCTGGGGTACACTGCCTTATCTCACAGGCTAATTTCAGATTAAATGACACAGTATCACTAGCACACAGTAGGTATTGATGTCTGTGCACCAAACCTAGATCTGGCAATCACCTGGGGACAGCTGAGGATGGCTTGGTAGGGAGTCCATGGTTTCTTTTGCTGGTTTCTTCCTGTCTCAGGATTATTCTAAAGGTTCTCAAGAGGAAGGAATCATGTTAACAGCCTTGGGGCTTAAATGCCTACCTAATCCTCACCACCACCCTGAAGGTAACAGTTTCTCTCCCACTTAACAGATGAAGAGGTGGTGCAGCAAGGTTCAGATATTTGTCCTGGGTTAGACAGCAAATAAGTCACAGGCAAATCACTTGAGCTCCCTGAGCCAGTTTCCTCATTCAAGAAACTGGGGGTGGAAGGCAGATATGAAGACTAAGGAAGATGTGCAAACTTGGAAAGATGGGATGTTCTTGGTTTGTGGATGCAGCCATGTCGTCTACTTTAGTTCCTTCCTTCCTTCCTAAAGCAAATGGAGCTGAGCTGGCTCAGTCAGGTGCAGCCCAGGAGCATTGAGGGAGGCGGATGGGGAAAGGGAAAACCTTTGTGGCCTGATTCCAGCTTCCTCTGGCTATAGGAAGCCAAGGCCTGCACCCATGAGACAGGTTCTTGACTGGAAGCAGTGTGGTCCTGCCTGCTCCCAGGAAACATGGCTTAGAAGCGACTACAGAAGGCCCTGCACAGGCTCTAGACACTTCTAATCATTTAGTCCTCAGGACAACCCCACTGGTGGGCATTATCCTCTCCCAGCCAACCTCAAACATACATACCAGGTAATGAATGACAATCAAGGTCACGGCACAAAGAAACCACCTCCAACTGTGCTCAAGATCTTTTTCCCAAGCAGTTGCTGGCAAGGTTGGTGCAGAGAGACACCTCCCTCCCCCCATGCTTTCTGGACGAGCTACCTGTGTCCCTGACTGTACCCACAACAGGCCTGGGGCTAGCTACTTGTGGATCTTGACTTCTGGCAGGCTGGCATCCCAGTGGAGTTGCAGTAACTGCCTCCGTCAACTCAGCTAAAACCAGGGCTCTAGAACTTGGAACCAGTACTCAGAGGGGGCCCCGATGGCCAAGAGTTGGAATGGGCCTGATTCTAAGACACTTTACGAAAAACCCTCTCTACACTGTCCTGCCACGATCAGCAGGGCCTCAGCTTGGAGCTAGACTTGAGCTGTCACCATGCACCGCTTTTCTCATCCTCCTAGAAACCAGCGTCGCACAGCAGGATGGGGGTTTGGGCTCCTGAGGCTAAAAGCCCACTCACAGCCAAGTATGGTGAGATGGAGTAGTAGAAGAGCAAGAGAAGTGGGTCCCAGTTCAGATCCGGGCCATGTCACAGCGGGCAGCTTCCCAAAGAGAAACTCACTAGGTCCGATGAAAGTGAAGGTGGCTCAACAGGATCCAACTCTTTGAAACCCCATGGACTATACAGTCCATGGAATTCTCCAGGCCAGAATACTGGAGGGGGTAGTCTTTCCCTTCTCCAGGGGATCTTCCCAACCCAGGGATCGAACCAAGATCTCCCTCATTGCAGGCGGATCTTTACCAGCTAAGCCACAAGAACTAGGCCCGGTACTCCTCTATAAGATGCGGTCTCCCAGAGTTGGCACTGGGACCAACCAGCCAGGGAGCCAGGGGGCGTGACCGGGGGCGGCCGCACGCTAACCGCATCCTCCTCTCCGCAGGTGCCCCAACCTGGCAACCGTCACGCTGTCTGGCTGCGGCCACGTCACCGACGACTGCCTGGCGCGTCTGCTGGTTTCCTGCCCGCGCCTGCGCGCGCTGCACCTGGAGAACTGCGCGCGCGTCACCAACCGCACGCTGACGGCCGTGGCGGCGCACGGGCGCGCGCTGCAGACGCTGCACGTGGACTTCTGCCGCAACGTGAGCGCGGCCGGCCTGAGGCGCCTGCGCGCCGCGTGCCCGCGCTTGACGGTGCGCGCCGAGCATAGCGCGGCCATGATCCCGGACCAGCTCCCGCGCGGCCCGCACGCGCCCGGCGCCGCCCTCCGCAAGTTGCTTCTGCGCTAGGCGGGCAGGACACCGGCCCCAGGTCTCCGGAGGAGGGAGCTACTTGTGTTGAACGCCAGCTCCTAGACAGCCGCAACATCCTCAGCCAAGACTCGGATACGAGCGCCTAACCCATATTACGATTTTATACATAGGCTGAGTGCGAGATTTGGTGGCCGGATGCTTGGAAAACACTCGATTGTTTCTCGCTAAACACCAGCACACTTTTCTGTGTCCCCTGCGCACCGGGTTCTCCACTTGGGCTCTATCTCATCCTTCGCGGCTGAGACTGCAGCTGCGGGGAGGGGGGGTGGTGGGGATGTCTTAAATCACCCCCCGTGGGGAAGTGTGGCCAGCCGGAGCTCCCCAGGGGTGTGTAAGGGACAGCCCTCTCCCCAACCCCTCCTTGCTGCGCCAGAGGGAGGAGGGATAGAACCCTGAGCTGTGGTTTCCACCGAGCCTTTGCTCGTGCCAACTCCCAACTCGCTTTGAGCGATTCTAGGAAATTCTCGTTGATGTGCTTCTTTCATAAACTGCAGCTATGCTTGTTTTCTACCGTTTTCCCATCCATCATAAACGAAGAAAATCATTTGACAGTCCCAAAGTAAAGACAAACACAAAAGCAGCAGCCCTGGTTAAATCTTTGGTTAACGAAACCATTAAAAGCGAATGCAAAGTTAAATTTTTACCTGCTAGATTTGAACGTTGGGCCAACGCCTTGAGTTCAATTTCATAGCTTTAGTCACTGCTGTCCCACCTTCAGCCATCAAAGCAGAGGCTCTCAGTCAGCAGTCATCCTGCAGCCTCCTGGTTCCAGGTACAGCGGGAAAATTTTGGGTAAGGGGGGAAGGTAGGGAGAATGGTGAAGTGGTGGGCGATACTCACTCTGGCTACTCTCATCACCAGGTGAAATCAAGGCCCTTGACCCACCTGAGACCAGGTGTTTCTTCTTTGTGAAAGGGGCTCTTGATGCCTAGTCACTGGTGTTGGGCTGCACCCCATAGGCCTACAAGGCCTACACTTGCCCAGCTTTAATTCTGAGAAAGAGCCCAGAGTCAGTAACAGACATCAGTGGTTTAATGGATGGAGGAAACTAACATGTCTGAAGCAAAGTCCTGGAGTGACACCCCATTCTGTGCAGCAGGCAGGACACTGTGGCACTCTTTGCTTGGGAGAGGGGAGGGGAGACGACCAATTATAGGGGAATTGATGTCAGGTGGGCTCATTCGTTACCAAGGAAACCAATGGGGGCATGCCCCTCAGGGACCCTTTGATATGAACAATCATCAGCTGGGGCCTGGGGCAAGGATCTAGGAAGATCAGTCCTTGTGCGTGTAGGGTTTAGGTGAAACAGGTACTAGTCAGGCAGGGCACTTACAGAGAACAAGAGAACAGCTATCTTGAGGGCCCTGACCAAACATATGGGTTCCTTATTCATTGCCCAGATATTGGGGAAACAGCAAGGAAAAAAAAAGACATTCTGTTCTCATGGATCTTATGTTCTAGTGGGGGAAGAAACAGTGTACCGGTCAGTGGATAAGTACTGGGGAAGAGGTGAAGGTATAGGGTAAAAGAAATTTGGGGACTGCTGGGACTGCTGACAGGGGCCAAGAAAGGAAAAGCAACTTAAAAGAGGTTGACAAATGTAAGCCCTCTTGAGAAGGAAGACATCCGAGAAATAAAGTGGAGGGGTGCAGCATTTGGAGGAAAATATTCCACAGAGGGAAGAGCCGCCAGCACAAAGGCTAGGAGCATGGCGGGTATGTTGCGGCTGAACAGAGTGAGGTGAGAAGACAAGGTGAGCAGAAGAGATAATCAGAAAAATGAGGGATAAAGGAGGCCTCAGTGGTTATTATGAGGATGAAACGAGAGCTGGAGATCCTCACACTCAGGCTACCCCCAGCAGGCGTCAGGGCCCCAAGATGATGATGGTGAAGGCCCAGAGGTGCTGAAACTTCTAGGCAGAGTCTGTGGGCAGGCAGACAGCATCCCACCTTGCCTAAACCCCTCCAGGGACTGCTGAAGGCCTTAGTTGCTGCCCCTGGGCCCCTGGTTGGACCAGCACTTAGCCCAGAAATAAAATCCTGTTTCATCCCCCTGTAGAAAAAGCCAGCCTTGCCAAGCCACCAGCTGCAGTGGAATGGGAGGCCCACCACTACGCAGGCTTCCTCTGGGTGATTTTCTAGTTTATCCACCATTGCTGTGAACACTGGAAAGAGGCTTTTTAAAGGAAATTAATTTTTCGGCCACTACTGAAAACAATGTTGAAAGCAAGTTCAGGCTTCCAGGGAGTTAAATGTTTACAATGAAGCCACTTAAACCCCACAGATTTGCTTTCATCATCTCTGATAAGCCCCAGTTCCCAGAGGTCCCATTTGCCCTGAGTTGGTGGTTTAGTCTGGGGAACAACGGGATCCTGGTTTCTAGCACTCCTCTGACCAAGCACAGGTCAGCCCTCTCCAGACCTCAGCGCTCTTACCCGTGTATTGGGACAGTGAGAAAATCTTGCTTTGCAAAGTTCTTTTCAGAATCATGGGACTGTATTTGTAAAGCAAACAAAGGTTATTATAAATTCAGTTGGAATGTCAGTAACCTGGAATGAAAAGTAACCATGAGGCTCCTTTTCCCACAGAAGCTCTTTATCATGAGGGTTCAGTTCCCTTTGATGCCTACTAAACCCCCATATACCAAGACTAGTACACAGAACTGAAGCTGTGCTGACACTTGTGTCCAGCATTGTTTCTAGGGCTCCAGTTAGGCCCTGCCCCCTGCATGGGAGTTTTGGATCCCTGAGCCCAGGCCCATCTGAGATGCTTCCAGAAGGCAGGCACTGACTGTCCACCCTGCCTTCTAACAGTCACTGTTCACAGCACTGTTCACAGTCACCCTGCCTTCTAACAGTCACTGTTCACAGCAAAGGCAGTACAGAACACAGTGCCCTCTTAATCTAAACACAACTTTCACAGTCTTTCCTCAGATTTGCATACACCGGGGGGCACTGTATGCTTAATTAACCCACCAACTCATTCATCTCACAATCATTTACTGGGTACTGGCCCTGGGCTGGGCTAGGCCCTACTTCAAGGGAGTCAGTCTAGTCAGAAGACGTGCTGCTGGGCTGGGCGGGAGTTTTGAGTTCTCTCCCAGCTCTGCCATCTGTAACTTCTGACAAGTTATCCTTCTCTGAACCTCCATTTCTCTATTTGTAAAATAGGACCAGTACACTTTCGGTGACACTGTGACGAGATTATGTCTAACTATGTAGTGCCTGGAAGGGGGAGGGTAGGGAGATGCAGCCTCACATCCATGGTGGGGTTGTGCCTGGCAGAACTCACGAGGCCCAGGCACTGGGAAGCAGCAACACATGTTGAAAGACATGCCCTTTAAGCCAGACCTGGGACTGACTCCAGTTCCTGTAAGGTTGATATCAGCAGGCACAGCTCAGAAAAGACAGGAAGCCCAGTGCATCTCCAGAGAAGGACGAGCTGGGGGTGATGTGAGCCTGACCCAGAGCCACCTGGAAATGGCCTGGGGGTTACCTGTGCCCTCAGAGCCTCCATTAGAACAGACCACAGGCTTTGCCCAGGTCCTGAACGCTAACTCTTTTCACTCTCAGTTTTGGCCAAGGCAGCCAAAGTGAAAGCTAGGGGGAGGGTGCAGACCCTCAGCACCAGGGCGGAACAGTGCCTCCCTTGTTGGGGGCTGACCCCAGTCACCACATTGTACTGGCTGGTCCAGGACCCTCAGTGCAAACAGAGACTGGGGCCATATGCTCCGAAGTCAGGGGCTCCTGATTGCTCCCTAGGAAGCAGAACCTGCTGGGGGGATGCTGCCTTCCAAGGCTTGTCTTAAGGGACACACTGGCCTGTTTCGGCACAGGCTCAGCATCTGCACGGGACTGACTGTGCTCCTTCAACTCCACCAGCAGTGTGCTGACAGGAAGCCAGGACTCCCAGCTCTCATCTGTTAAGTACCTGTGATCCAGCACTCTCCTTCTCCTGACCTCGAATTCCTGGTCTGTAAAGGGAGAGACCATCTGATGCCTTAGTTCTAGCATTCCTTCAACTCTGGGATTCAATGTCCAAGACTTGGTTTTTGCTAAAAATCGAGCTCATCAAGTGTTGGTTTCATCTGGCTGGCAGTGCTGGGCAAAGGCCACAAAACTGGGAGGCCCACAGAAAAGATGCACCTTGAAAGGGCCTCTGAGGAAATCTTAAAGGTTGGGGGTAAAAGTCTCTTGAGACCATCTAAGGGTGACAAAAGCTGCAAGGATTTGTTAACTGAACAAATCCAGCAAGGAAAGAAAAAGACCTAAAACTCTATGGGGGTTAAAAGTGAACTATGGAGGGAAAAATAGTTGCACTAGGCTCATTTCAGGTCCTCCGATCAGGGACTCCTGCCTTCCCCTCTCCTACAGCTTCCAAAAGTAGAGAGAATGAAGCAAAATGATAAGTTTCCAGCAAAGAAATGGCATCTGTTATAAAACCAAGGTGTCTCTGTAAGCTTCCTCACAGAGTTAAGGCTCCTGAGACGTCATCTGTTAGGCCTGACAGGTGGGAGCTGGAACCATGAGCGTCAGCCTGCTGAGGGTGCCCTTACCCCATGAGTCGAGAGCCTCATGAAGCTCAAGGCCTCATTTTGATTTAAAATAGTCTCTGAGACTATAGACATAGCCTTCAGCTCGCATACCCTCAGACCAGCTCAGCAAGAGGGAAGAACCAGTGGTTCCCAGGAACCAGCCCAGAGGGCCTGGAGAGAACCCTGTGGTACGGTCCAGGATCTCCGCAGCACAGAGGCCTCTCTTCTCTGCAGTTCCCTGTTGACCTAGAGGCCCTGACAGTGCATTCCCACTCACTGAGTGGATGCTGCAAGCACAAAGACCTTCACTGCTGCTTCTGACTGAGCTCTCAGGCCAAGTATTAAAGGCCCAGACCCTGGAAGCTATGGTCTCCTTCTGAGACACAATTCCAACTGAAGTCTCTTTTCCATAAAACTAAAATGTCATTATCCTAAATATTATT